ATGGTAAAACAGGACACTCCAGCATCCCCTTAAGGGAACTGATTTTTTTAGAATGCAATATGAGAGATAATTTATGTGAGCGTATACATACATAAATTATATATATGTATGTATACGCTCACATAAATTATCTCTCATATTGCATTCTAAAAAAATCAGTTCCCTTAAGGGGATGCTGGAGTGTCCTGTTTTACCATTAATTTATATATATATATATATATATAAAAGAAATACTGTTTTTATTAAAAAATCTTATTATTACATACCTCCTCTTCGTTTTCTTTCCTAAATTCTTCAACTACATTGTCGTCCGCAAATGCTTCGCTCATTATTCTAAACGTTTCCTCTTCCTGTTCGCTATCATCATCTCCGGCTGTAGCTACATCTGGCAGTTGCGTCTTTAAGTGTTTAGGCTTTATATTGACGTATTTTTTTGGATCTATTTCTATTTCGTTACTAGAGCCAACCGGTTCCTGTACCATATTCGCTATTTTCTTTAAATTTATTTTTTTCAAATTGCTTTCCTCATGTATATTTTCCGTAGAAGTGGTTTCCTCCAATGGAGAATCCAAAATAGGTTTCCGTTTGGGATCTTCAAATTCAAGACTTGGCGAATAATCTTCATTCTCCTTCTCTTCATTTGCTGTCTTGTGATTTGTCTTCAATTTCTTCTTCACTTCTTGCTTTGTCAGATTCAATTTACGCTTTGATGGTGCCTCCTTTAATTCCTTGGAATTGGTTGCCTTATTTTTATCTTGCGATTTAGATTTTTTATTATTTTTGCAATTTTCTTTATTCTTTTCTTTTTTATGATTTCTATCTTTTATATCGTTTGTTTTTTCTAATGAAGTGCTGCTTTTCTCATTGCTGGAGAATTCGTTTTTTGCATCACTGGTACTTGCATTTGAAGTGCCACTAGTTTCATTACCATATAATTTGCTTTTTGTATTACGTTTGTTTCCTCGTAAGGAACTGTTTTTCTCATTACCATGTGATTTACTTTTTGTATCACTTTTTGTATTTGCTTGCAAAATACTATTTTCCTCATCGTTGCAAACATTATTTTTCATATTTATACTTACTCGTAAAGTACTACTATTTTCGGTGTGGCATGTCTCTTTTTCCTTTTCCGACATAATTTCATCCGAAGTTTCATCTTTTTCTGTCTTCTCTCCTTTCGTCTGCTGTTTTTTATCGTAAAATTTTCGACAAAGCTTAATAAAGTTTTCAATTTCGGACTCAGTTTTTATGTTGCTTTCATTATCATTTACTGATGTTTCATCTTCTTTATCTTCTTCATATTCTTTATCTTCTACATCTTCTACATTTTCTTCGTCGTCCTCAGATTCATCACTGTCTGTTCTCCTAACTTTTTGCGTCAATTCTTTACTAATGGCCAATTGTTCAGTAAGTATTTGTCGTGTCTAACAAAAAAGAATTTGTTATATTTTCTTGTTCTTAATCAGACATTTTTATTAACATTTAAATGTTTGTAATATTTAATTATTTTTAAAAAGATATATTTACCCAATCAGAAATGATAATGAAATAAACATCAAATCAATGTCGTTTCGACGCCGATTTGATGTTTTCGACGTCGTTCGATGTTAAATCGACGTCGATTCGATGTCGATTCCATTACCATTTTTGACTGGATAGGTATACATTTTTATTAAAATAATTTCTATCAAAAATAATTGATTTTGTTCAGATTTTAAATCAAAATAATACTCACTTCTTTATTATATTTGGCTTTAATCTGTTTATTTCTAGCCCACTGGCCCGTGTTTTTATGCCTTAATGACATTCTCTCTTCAGCACGAGTTTTGTCTAATTGTGCCAATTTTACCAGGGCTTCCTCTGGATTACTATCTTTCAATTTTTCGAAATCCTTTAATTGCTGCTTGATTTTATCCTTACGCTGAATGCGGTGGAACTTCTTGCTCTTTATCTTACGCTGACGATGCGCCTTCGCCTCTTTGTATGACTGAAAGTGCAAAGAAATTAAAAGCAATTTGTTAAATCTGGTTCTTACTTTTTTAAATCAAAATACTAATATATCACTTAATATTATAACTGAATATTTCTGTACCTGTTGTGCCCTGAGTCTAGCAGCTTCCTTCCTCCTCAAGATTACCTCTTCCAGTGTCATTTTGTACTTATTGCCTTTCTCTTCTTCTTTGTCAGCAGGATACAACAATGCTGGATCCAGCTCTTCAAACTTCTTCATTAAATCAGACTTCGTACTAAATCCTCTTAGAAATTCAGGAATTTTTGAAGTGCGAGAATCTTTTATTGGTGCTAAATGTTTCAATGGAAAGGATAGCTGTTGTGCTGTCCTATTCCTGGTTACTACACTGTCCCATTTTTCCAATTCCTTTTTAACCTTGTCATAACCAACTGTCCTTTTTATCTATAAAGATTTTGACCCTTAAGTTCCTTTTATTTCAAACTAAATAAATTTCGTTATCAGAATTTAAAATTATATAAATAAATGAGATGAAAATAGATAGTATTGAAAAAGATTGACACTAATTGATTAATTCGTAATTTTAAATGTGAAAAGAAATAATTGTTAGGATTGAGGTAATAAATTAATGGATCAAAACATAAAATCATTGTTGTACAATTAGATGAAAGTATACTAATTAGTATGTAAAACTATTTTGGTTTTATCCTTTTTATCCTTATTATTGTTTTTAATCTATTAAGCCTTGAGATCATTTTTTACTAATGATGAAAAGAAATCATTAATTTCAATTTAATTTCAACTTAATAAGATTAATGTACTCTTTCAGCTGCTGGTTTCTCCAATGGTTTAGAAAGAACTTTGTTTTTTTGTTGAATGTATCGAAGTTTCTTGGTAAGGTTGCTCTGATCCCCTTTTCGCTCCAACGACTTGATCAAATCCTTCACATGTATCGTATCTTTGTCTGTTACTCCGCTTTTCACAAGATGATACTCCGATACTTCTAAACTAGCCTCGCTGCGTTCTGCTTTTTTCATCCTGTTTTTTAAAGGGGAAAAATATAATAAAAAGAATATTAAAACATACAAAATTAAAATTTTAAGCATTCTAATCGTAACCTTATCGTCATTCCTTACCTTTGCCTCTTATCGAGCTGGGTAAAGGTGCAATGGACGGTCATCTTCTTAAAAATCGATGAAATTATACTAATTCGACGCGTTTTTCCATAAAACGAAAGAATCTGGTAGAAAAAAGCGTCGCTCTGCACCGCGAACCGAGATATTAAGCGTTAAAGTTCACGACTATTCAGGTTAGAATATTTGTCATGGTCACGTAAAGCTGGAAACACAATAGACACAGGCAATAGGCACAGGCAACAGGGAATAACGAGCCATCCAATCAGAGCTTTGGGGTATAAAGCTGGAAACACAATAGACACAGGCAATAGGCAACAGGGAATAACGAGCCGTCCAATCAGAGCTCTGGGATATAATATCGAACATATAAAAAGCCCAAAGCTCTGATTGGACGGCTCGTTATTCCCTGTTGCCTGTGCCTATTGCCTGGGTCTATTGTGTTTCCAGCTTTATTCCCTGTTGCCTGTGCCTATTGCCTGTGTCTATTGTGTTTCCAGCTTTACACTGCGATATGAACATGCACTGCGGTCACATTTTCATACTTTGTGGCCACACGCGCATGTGTTTTCATAAGTATGCGCCCGAAAAAGAAAACCGCGGCAATTGAAAAATTCATTTGTTTTCTACTGTATAGTATCACCACCGACGAGATACTATCACCGACGAGATACTATTAAAGACCGACATCCTTACGCATTAGTCTGGATCTACAATAGATGTTTTAAGCCTTAAGCCGTAAGAAATTGACCAATTACAGTCGAATCCGAGAAGAATGAGCGACTGTGATTCGCCCATTTCTTATGACTTAAAACTTAAAACACTATTGTAGATCTGGGGTAAAGGGCTTCACACATGAATAGCATAAGCATAACATAAGACTGCTGGACCAATGAGCATCTAGCATAATATCGCCATATTGATTTACATAAGATGCTCATTGGTTTAGCGGTCTTATGTTATGCTTATGCTC